TTGGTTGTGTTGGGATTTTTCTTGATTATTTTGGAGTAGTATTGGTTGTGTTGGAGTTTTTCTTGATTGTCTTGGAGGAGTTTTTCTTGTTTTANTCGTTAGGTACTTTGAGCGTGATGAGCGTGACCCGTGACTCCATGCCGTGACCGATTGACGAGCTGAAGCACGCCCCCGATGAATTCACAATACGTTTTACAACACGTTTTCCTACACGTCCCTACCCTACCACGGCCCGTCATGGCCCAGCTGCTCTACACTCCCAACACAAACAACTGAGCCACCGAATTATCGATCACTTTCATCCTAACGTCCGACGCGCCCGCTTGAATTGCGCGAGACAAGCGTACAAGCGTCCAAGCTCTTGGTTTCAGGAAAACCTTAGTAAAATCGGCGTCTATAACGGAAATTTGTGCACGGTGGTGCTGCACCGGCCGGGGCAGCAAGAAGCTTGATTCAACCAAGACGAACTTCCCTCATAGGTCACGAATCACGCTGAAACTTCGTGAGCGCGTCTGAAGCGACGAAAGAAGAGCGTAAGGGTGGCTGGGGCTGTCGTGCGGAATTGGCTCAAAAAGTGCGTGGTTTGGAGCTTCCGAATGAGGTCGACGTACGTACTCACCAACTTTTATTTCCCGCTGGTAGACTCTCAGGTACAGGTATACATGCGTACGCGAGAGAATAAGGGGTTGCTGGGGGAGCTTGTCCAATATGAAACGTCATCCCGCTGATGCTGCTGCTGCCATGCTCCCACCTCAAGAAATATTTATTGATGGGGCCCTATATTACGGCGAAACCTCAGGCAAAATTAGTAAATCTCACTTGCCTCGAACAAAGTTTATGGGCGCTAATTTAGCCACCGCACACCCGCGTCCAGACTGTCTCTATCCCTGTCTCTGTGCGAGTTTGTTTATGTCCTCTTCTGTCTTTGGTTTATTTCGTTTCTGTTTTGTTTTTTTACTGGCACGTACTGTTGACCCTTGGGGTCCTTCCGGAAGGCTACCCCCCAGGCTGGTGGTGCGCACGTTCCACTATTTATTTATTTATTTGTTTCTGATTCTTTTGTTTTCTTGTATTTTATCGCTCTGCTAACCCTTGGGGTCCATTTTATTTTGATATACCTTTTCTAGGTACGTTAGCCTGTGACCACGGAAATTGACCGAGTCAAGTGCTGGATTAGTACGGAGAGATTGAGACAGAAGGAGGTACTGGATAGAGAGACCGGGATGGTTTTTAATGTGAAGACAACAACAACAACACCCTAGTATCCTCCTCCGCCGCCCCACCCATTTTGTACACAGAAGAAAAAACAAAAAGCGCCTCATCGTTGACTGTAATCAGAATCCATGTGCCCATGTGCGGGTAATAAAGATCATAAAGGTGCCGACGTTGCTTTTTTTTTTTTTGCCTTCCGACAAATGCAGATGTACCTCAGAAAACTTTCTCTTAATGTCTCATACTCTACATGAATATTAGACCAAAACGAAGCACAACAACATATGTAGGACTTATTTCTACTGTCACTTACATCGTAATATTGTTTGGGTGGAATCGCTTGCATTTCGTGGGCGTCCTATTTATCTTGTATCATGAGATATGAGGTACAGATGGCGCCCGCACTAAAGAACCTCTAGTTTCGGCCGAGGCTGGGGTTCATATTTTGCTCATCCTCTTTTGGCTACAAATAGCCGATATATAGGTTCTAGTGTGGGGTTCTTAACCGAGGTCACAAATGGTGCTCAAGTTCTTAGCTTCTGGTTTTCTGCGAGTCTCAATTTCTTAACTGCGAAGTTCTCAAGTGCGGGCGCTATCTGTATCACAAGATACCAAACGACAGAGAATGCAAAAACGCCTCTGGTGCGTGGCATGCGCTACACTGCTGTTCGTCCAACACAAGAGAAAAAAACAGGAAAATTCGAGCCAACAAAGCGAAACACAAACTAAAAAACATGTTACGATCCACGAAAAACGACCGAACCGCAGCAGCAGCGGCCGACATGGTGGTAAAGGGACAAGCGGCAACCAATCGTCCATCGAAACAGGCGAAGATCTCAACCCTTAGCATCGTCAGCCTAGAAAAACTAATATTCCCACGCCCCCCCGACGAACGAACTACCGAGCGCCAAATACTGCGAGCAAAAAAAACTTCGAGAACTGCGTCATTATTGCAACGAAACTACTCTATAGTCTAATAGTCGCCAGTAAAGCAGCAGCAGCGTAGCAGCAGCAGTCCAACCGTTTCTAGGCTGTGGTACCGCCGTCTTTCGAACACGGCGGTGCTTCAGGCCACGTGCATGTGGGCCCGAACACCGCAGCTCCCCTTGCCGCGAGAGGCGGCGACCACCGCCGACACGGAGCAAGCTACCAGCGCCACGGACGCGGCAATGCGGAGCGCCGTGCTCTTGAACAGGGGGCGCCTACGGTGAGGAAAGGACAGAGCGAGGCGTGAGTGGGCCCGGGTTAGCGGCCCCTCGTGTCGGGAGGGGAACATGGTGATCGCTACGCAGGGCAGGTCGCTAGAGGCTGCATACAGCAGTGTTGTGGGTAATTTTTTTTTCCTAGTATAACACAATGAATCCATCTCCATCCATATAAACAAGGGTGTAGGATAACTTGGTGATGAATTCATAGCGTTAGCTATTGTTCGCTGGGCTCTTCGAGCGAACAAACACGTCAGCTGTATGAGCTAACGAGCTCGGGAAACGTCGCCACCGGCAGCTGGCAGCCAGCCGTGGGCTCTTTCTGCTGCCTGCTTTAATTTCGTCTTGCATCGCAACACCCATCGGCGACACTGCGGCGCGCATGATCCCAATCCAGCGCCGTATCCCTTGTAGCACCTAATAGTTTTATTTGTCGGGGCACCGAGCCACGCGGTTTTCGTGGTCGCTATACGGGCCCGGAGATAACAAATGTCAAAATCGGGTCGAGGTTCAAATTATTTACTTTTTCGCCACTGCTGCTGTCGAGAACAGCTTGTTGCGACTACCGTCGAGGACAGCTTGTTATATGATACGGGGTGCAGTGCAGGATCCACCTCTGAGCTATGTCTCTTATTCATAGCCCTATTTGCGTGAGAGTACATAATGAGCCTCTGTTTCTTAGCGAAACAGTTGAAGACTGCGAAGCTGTTCTGTATACATCGGGCATGTGGCCGAACCGGGGGCTGTATACGCAGGGCAAGTGGCTGAACCGAGGGTACAGCTAAGGGTCCGCCACTGATGGGTGGTACACACATAGGTCGACGTCAACGACGCCTGCTGGACGACAACAGTAGTGCAGGCTTGATTCCTTTTGTTTCATTGGAAGTGTGTACCCTTTGCACGATAGGGGTCCGCGTAAGGTACTGAGCAGAGACCGGAACGACTTGTGATACCATTACAACAGTAATCAACAAGGGCAGCAATAACAACAACAACAACAACAACAGCTTGTGAATTGCGATTGATACCACCAGCGAAATAAACAGCCCCAGAGAGTACTTTGCTGTGACATGCGTTTGGACACCGTTTGGTGTACCGTAAATGACACAAGATAACACACCCCCTGGATCGATTTTCAAATCTCGATTGCTCAACATGAGAAAGAGTCACAGCGCCGAAAGCGGTGGCGTTGAAGCTGTCTCGTCGAGAGCGTTCCGAAAATGTACTGTTTCATATACACATCCTCTTCGTCAAGGCGTAATCGAGCTTTGAAAATCGGTTCAAGGGGTGTGTTATCTTGTGTCAAACGCGGTATATCTTGGATTGGAGACCCACCGTACGAGTAGGACATGGCAACCCCGTGTTGGCGTTTTTTTGTGGCGCATTTCTCCACAACTACGAGGGTGCGAACACCAACCGATACCTCTCAGGAAAGCCCTTGACGAGACGTTTCCAAAACTACTCTTTCGGCAGTGGTACCCCGATGGATGCGGGGAAAAACGCTAATGCAAAAACGCTATCACAGGGGTGCCGTCTCTCCGACTCTTACAATACTTAGCTTTGACATACAGTTCGCTGGCCAAACCACCACCGCACTTTGCGGCAAACATCGTCCAGATCGTATGTTGATCGTCCTTCGACAAACAATTACTGTTCTTCCACAAACAAAACACATCAATCTATCATCCACAGATAAAAAAAGTCTTGAAAAAAATTGGCAGTGATAGAAGACTTTGAATAGTACCAGTATACAACTGCTCTGTCGAGAATCCTACACTGAAACCTATATAGTCAAAGAATCCTACACTAGAACGTATATTGTCGACGTTGGGCTACCCCACACCGAGAAAAAAGAAGACGCTGGGGGAATCGCAAAAAGCAGCTAGCTTCCGGCGGCGCAATGCATGCATTGCTCATCTATCTATCTGAGATTCTCATCTGTGGGGGAGATGAATTCCTTGTGCCGAAAGTAGGAAAAACTAGCAGGGCCTCGGCCAGAATAAGGGGTTCTTGCACCGCTGCGACGAGTAATCGCGAAATAAGGGCTTCTTGCACCGCTGCAGCGAGTGATTGCCGAAATTACTGGCTGCAGCGGTGCAAAAAGCCCTTATTCTGACCGAGGCCCTGCTGTTTTTTCCTACTGATGACACAACGAACTCATCACCTCCACAGATGAGAGTCTGGGGTAGAAAAGTGAACAACGAATTCATTGCGCCGCCGGAAGCTATGATCGCAAATTTTCTGCGATTCCCCCAGCGTTTTCTTACTTCTCGGTGTGGGGAACCCAACGTCGACAACATACGTTCTAGTGTAGGATTCTTTGAATATATAGGTTTTAGTATAGGATTCTCGACAGAGCACCTTTTCGTTTGGCCAAGCCCTTCAAATAATCCTTCTCTTGAGCCTCTGACTTTCTTTTACAGTACTCCCCAGGTTCTGGAGTGGTGGCGCGAAACGGAAACTCACCGAAGCGGTACGAGAACCCCGGCGCCATCGCACGGTGACGTCACTACGCACTCGCACGCGTTGCCCGTTTCGGCCAGGTACTCTTCTCTCAGCTTGGTCATGAGAGCCTGCGCTGCTTCCGCCTTCACCAGCGTCACCGTACATCCTCCTGAAGCGCGAGGGCCACATGGGAGAGCAGGAGACGGAAGACGCAATATTTACGAGAGCTGGAACATGAATGCAGCTCAACCGAACGCGATTTATCAACAAAAGAAAAACTAGTCAGGACGAAGCACTTGCTCCACGCGCACTGGAACGCGACGTACGGGTCTGGTGACAGAATCCGCCGCCTACAGGGACTGGAAGTGAAGATATTGAAGAATCAATTTCAACGGCAAAGCAGAAACCTGTAAATTCATGTTGGTTTCCCCGTTGACCAATCAGGTGTGTACGAATCAAGGTTTGCGCAAAATAACAATCTATTCGTGTGGTGGCTGGTGCGTTCTGCTGAGGGGGACGTTTCGCCGTCACCAAAAAACGCCAATGAAATGTCGAAACCTGAAAGTGCGGCAAGATGAAACAGCGTCCGTTTCACGCTGAAACGTGATTGGCTGGCTTACCGAAGCCTCCGCCCGTCATTCTGCTGCCGTACACGCCATCCGTGCCCATGGCGATCGATACCAGTAGGTCCAACTCCTTGATGCTCACCTTTGCGGAGAAAGTGACCAATTAGTCATCAGACAAAAAAAAATGGCGGGTGAAATGATAAACAACAATAGAGACAAAAAATGATGGGGCTAAGTGCTCTGATAAGAGGCGTACGTTGCCAGAGGCATTCTCAAGACCAGGAGGTCCAACTCCTTGATTATTACCTTAGCGAACAGATTGCGATAGGGCACCTGACGGCACACGGAAGGATAAACTAACCAAGCAAACATCAGACAAAATTTTTGGGCGGCTAAGTGTTTTTAATAGGGCGTACGCTGCCCAAGACAATTTCAAGGATGCAAGGACATTAGCGTGGTTTCGACAGAAGCGCAGGCAATGACAGCTGTAGCGAGAGCCAGCCCGGCTCAGAACCGATCATATCTCCGCGGCAATCGACAACGTGAGGACATTTTTTTCCCAAACACGGACTCTCTTTGCGCGCAGATCTGAAGCAATTCCACGTCTTGGGAGGCACCCGGCGCCACAACTTACCGTAGTTTGCATACGCAAGATGAAACACGCCCTGGACCGATTTTCAAAGCTCGATTCCTCCCCGACCAAGAGGATGCCGAAAGCAAACGAGACGTCTTCGGAAAGCTCTCGACGGGACGGTTCCAACTCCGCCATTTTCGGCACCGTCATTGCCTTCCCGGCCGAGTAATCAAGCTTCGAAAATCGGTCCGGGAGTGTGATATCTTAGGCAACCTACGGCAAGTTCAGAACCTCATATTTTTCCCGATAGTTTCTTACTACTCCTGTGGGATAGGTAGCCCAACACCAACCACAAAGGTTGAAGTCGAGCATCTTCTAATGGTTAAGCTCTTAAATTAACATGATCTGGACCCTGAATTTCTCAACTCTCAGGTGGCCCTTAGCTCCCAGACTATATTAATAACTCCCAGGTATTTAGTTGCTTTTAAGCGGTGATAATGCCTTGCTTCTACAGCACACCTCGTAGTCATCCCTCAGAGAAGCGTGGCTCTCTGTCATGCACCCTCCAACGATCCCGTAGTCCTTGCGGCGAAGAGCCATGGCGCAGCAGAGAGTCCGCCTGTCCTCGGACACCACGTGCCGGGCACGCTTGAAGACCTGATGCCCCCCGCCCCCCGCCCCCCCACGTGTCCCACGCAACGTGTGACGAAACACGTATTGTAGGAACGAGGACAAATTTTCAGCGCCCGTCAAAATCGTTGCGCCCGTCATACACATAGCGATAACGTACCGTGCGTGCGAGATGTGATTGACCCATCGCATGAAAGCAAATAGTGACGACATACGTATGCAACAAAGGGTTGTGTGTAGCACCCGTCATACATATACAACAGCGGAAACGTATCACTCGTGAATAACACGACACCCGATCCTGCCTTCACAGGAACGCATCATGGCGAGAGACGTACTGCAGAGGGGAGAAAAAACGCACCATATGTACGACAACTGATCGACCCCGCACGCAAAGGGTGACGAATAGCGTGCAGATGACAAAACCACTCGTCCGTCATGTCGTACCATCAGCAACAGCGCATGGACGACACTTGACCCGTCGCAGGCATGAACGACGCACTGTTGTAGAGGACAAAACTGCTGCGTGTACGTCATACAAGTATCGTCGTATCGTGCAACGAGAACATGCGTACGACCGATGCAGGAGTCCTCGACTGCGCGCAAACAGTTGTGGGTTTTTCGAAAAAAGAAACAGGAGGCCGGCCTGGCCTTTCCATCCCGGTATAACGCATCCAGGGCATGGACTCCGATCATAAAAACCTGCGTGGGAATCTCTCGGTTTCTTCCTCTTCATGGTTCTTGTGGGCTGGATCGAGACAAACTATGGATGAACTTCATGTATATGGTAGAAAAACATACCACAGATAAGACCACAAGAGTAAGACAGATAAGACAAAAAGAATAGCGGGACCAGTTCCTGAATTGCAACAACAATGAGAACATGGACAAGTGCCCAACGGACGTCAACAGCCACGGGGGTGTAGCTCAAATGGTAGAGCGGTTCATTAGCATTGAACAGGTAGGGAGATCGATGCTCTCCACCTCCACTTTTGTCTTTTTTCCCTACAGTAGTAGTGTCGTATTTTTGTTCCCCATTTGTCCTTTTTTTTCTTTTATTGCTGTACGAAGCCACCTCTACAGCCTCAACAAGAATAAGAACAACAAGAATAAGAACAACAACAACAACAACAAGAACAACAACAGCAACAACAACAACAACAACAACAACAACAACAACAACAACAACAACAGCAACAACGACGACGACGACGACGACGACGACGACGACGACGACGACGACGACATCGTACCTTTTCGTCCACCTCGTCCTGGACTTCCAGCACCCACGCCAGGGAAGCGTCGCGTAGCTGCTCAACCTCCGGATGCCTCTTTTTTATCTGAACCGCATCCATTCCCGCATGTGCGTACACAGCGTCACCGTGAGGAACAAACGATTTCCTACAAGCAAAGAACTCGAACAACTCGGACCGCAACACACCACGACTCACGTGTTTATATACCTCTCCCACGCCTTCGTCGGCTGTCCTCACGAGTTGCAAGAACAAAGACATCACTGCCCGGCTTTGTCCTCTACTGTAATACTCTATTTGTTGCCCGGGTTTGCTGTGGTACCACAGCCAAAGGTCAAACGATACGTTTTCGTGGAATGCTCAATTTATCGGTCGGGGTTGCTATGTACCACAGCCGAAGGCCAAACAATACGTTTCCGAAAAGCTCTCGACGACACCCTTCCCACGCCATTGCGTTCGGCGGCCACCGCCATTCTCGCTGCAGAGCAACCGAGATTTGGAGTGCACGGTCCAACACGGGTGTGTGTGGTGCCTTGGCAACCTACCGTAACTCAGCTTTGAAAATAGGTCCAGAGGGGGGGGGGGG